TAAATTATTTTAGAAATGCATTTTAATTGTGTTTTAAATTGTATTTGTTGATTATCTGTGCTGGTCTTTGATCATATAAATGGAATTGAAATTGATGTAAGTAATGTCTTTTAAATGCAGACTTCTCATTTTAATTAACAATGAAAAACTGTTCAATGCTTCGAGGTTTAAATACTATTCAGTATATTTATTACGATATTAAATGAGAGTTATTCAACATATTGTTTTTTCATGTTTACTGAACAGCAGACAGAAAGTTTAAAAAGAGTGATGGAAAACTTATCGTATGATACAGTACAGTTGTCAGGTTACGATGTCATCTCAAATTGTTACACTATTCTTTCATTTTAGTTTAATATCAATAATTTTGTTGACATCCTTTTGGGAAGGATTGTATGGTTTAAAAATCAGAATGTGATTAAAGATTACTTTGCTTTGGAGCAAACAAGATTGTGTTCTGCTTATCAACTGGCTGTTGAGAAGATTGATTAAAATTATTCCATATGGTTAACATTTCATGCTTTGCTTTAAAACATTTTATGCTTTTTATCTCTTTCTTCTTTTTTCCAAGGATTTGTATATTGGGGTTCAACATGAATTAATTTTATCTTTTTATTTGTATAAGGCAGCAGAACCTGTCTTCCTACACTTATCCAACAATTTTGGCACTAATTCTTCTTTTTCCTGATGTCTGTATGGGAAAACTGAATGAAAAAAAGAGATATATAGGAAAGAAAGAACTGTAGTACATTTAACTTGAGGCAAGAAAGAGTGAAACTTGTAATGGAAACCTGGCATAAAGCACTGCTAACTCTTGAAAGAGGTTAGGGTTGCCAGGTGTCCACTATTTGAGCGGACAGTCTACTTTTTTCACATTTTGTTCACTATTTTTTTTCACAAAATAGTGGACATTTTTTTTTATTCAAAAGCTTTATGATGAAATGGTACGTAATCTAAAGCTGTACAGTCTAAGAGAATAAGGATAGGAGAATCGCGTTTTGTCTTTTTTTTCATAAGTTAGAATGAGACAAAGATCGAATGCTCATTGCAATAATCACATTTTACACAACAGCGCAAAAAATGCATTAAAGCAGTTATCTTTGGATATCGAAAATGTAGTGCTGAAGGTTTTTGCCAAATTTTCGAATTCTGCGAAGAAACGAGAAGAGTTGAAATCATTTTTTGAGTTTTGCGAGTCAGAATTCCATGAAGTTTTGCGCCATGTTCCAACACGTTGGTTAAGTTTGTTTAAAGCGGTCGAAAGACTTCTTTTAAACTGGATACCTCTAAAATCGTATTTTATTTCTCTTGGATCTGATGAGTGCCATAAGGTTATCTGGAACCTTATTTCGGATCAGGAAAATGAACTTGCAAAGGACAATGAACCAGCAATTTCAGAATTGTATTTATATTTCACGCACTTCTTCATGTCAATAATGCAAGACACCCTACTGAAGCTGGAAAGCAAGAAAATTCTTGCATGTGATCTTCACATTATCATGTGTAAGCTGTGTGATTCTTTGCAAAAAAAATATGATGAGCAGTTTTTTGGAATGAAAGTTTTATTTGCCTTAGGTAAAAAACATTTGCCTGAGAATGCTGTGCAAAAGTTCAAGAAAGAAGCCATCAACGTGTATCAAAGAGCCATCGCGTACCTAGAAAAGTGGTATAATTTCACCGATTCAGTATATGAGACGCTAAGTTGTTTCAATCTAATTGATCGCAATAATCCTCCAACTTTAGAAGAAATGACGAACATCTGGTTATTATCACCATGGCGAGAAGAACTTCCACCCAACACTCTCTTCGATGAAATTTCTGCCTTAAAAGAAGTTTATGTTCATCTGCAGGGGGATTCATCCCTTGATAAGTGGACGTACTTTTTCAAGAAAGAGCCAGCTCCGAGTTTACTGAAACTGTTCCAGTATTGTGCATCAATTCCGGTATCAAATGCAAACGTTGAACGAATTTTCAGCGTCATGGGAAATTTGTGGACTGATGAACGTAACTGACTGCTTGTATCAGTTCGAAGTGAACTTTGTATATTTTTTAATATTTCTCAACGTTGTACTGAAATTAAAAAATTATTCCTTAAACACAAAGAATTGATCAAAGCTTCGCAGTCAAATAAAAAATACACACAACAGCAAAGTAAAATGTAATTTAATATTTTACATGTTATTATAATATATTTGATGTTTTGAATTTTAAGTAAAGTTTTGAAGTGATTATTTTAATATGTGTTAAAATGTTTGTAAGAAAATATATAATTTAATTGTAATTTTTTTTTATTTTTTTACTACTTAACCCCCCCCCCCCCGCTTGTCCGCTATTTTTTGGAAGCAGACCTGGCAACCCTAAAAGAGGTTCAGACTGAGACTGCATAGCATATAATGAGCACCACGCTGCTGTAGCCTGCCAAATGTTATTGGCACATGAACATGTACTCCATGCTTAATCAGAGCAACATGCAAGTTTCCAAGATTAAGTAGCACTTGCCAAAAAAAAAAAAAATCTTGGACAGGTGCCATATGTTTGAATTGAAATGGAAAAATTAGAGTTTTGCTCACTATTGTCTCCTGTAAAGTAAAGAGGGAAAGGAGGACAATATATCAATAACAATGCATTGCATATCTAGTTAGTTACCTCTCATGCGCATAAAAACTACTCTTGTTGAAGGCATCCGTAAACATTTGTGAAAAGAGCATAAAAATATCTTGACTATCTTTATTCAACATTTGAATATCTTTATTCAACATTTGTGCTTCCAAAAATCAGTTGCCTCTGGAAGGTTTCTAATGCCCTTTGCTTTAAATGTTTTTCTGGCTATTTTGTTTAAATATTTGCATTTTCAAGCTCACTTAACAGGAACAGCAAAGTGATTCCCATGTGCTTTTTATGAGAAAGAGCCATGCTGCTGAATAACAAAGCACCTGCTTTGTATACAGAAGACTTGAAGTCCCAGCTTTGGCATTTCCCCGGTGGCAGAACTAAAGCCTGGCAAGATATTGAGAGTTAGAAAGACAGTGCTAGGCTGATCTGGTTAATTTCAAAAGAAGGTTGATTTCCCACATTTCTTACTCATGTTAATTCTGGCAACTTATTTAATTACTTATGCTGTTTTTCTTGGCCACATTTGTGTGTGTGTGTGTGTGTGTGTGTGTGTGTTTCCTGCAACACAAAGCACTTTCTGGTTTCATTGACATAAGTGTTCTCAATTTTATTTTCTCCCCAACCTCGTAAAGTATGCAATGTTACAAGTAACTACCTTATCTGGGAGGTGGAGTACTTCCTCTAATTAAGCTCAGATTGCTAACATCCCCTATTTGTTGCCTTCAGATATATTGGGTTCCTTTCCCATCATCCCCAGTCAGCACTGCCTAGGGAGGGCTGGTCAAATCACTAATAGTTTGAGATGGGAGCATGGGAACTGGTTTGAGACATTGCCTAAACTGAAACAGTGGTTGACTGGTTTGAAGCAGTGACTAAGAACATTGCAAAATCTGATAAATGTTAATGGTAATTGTGCTAGATAATATCCTGAGAGCTCCCAGCTTTTTCCTTTCAGTTTATATTTTCAGTGTAACTCTTAACAAACATGCATGGAATGGGGATTTTGCTTTGCAATGGTATGACACAGAGATTAAGGACAAGGAAATGTAAAATTACTGTTGGAATACTAGACCTGAGAAATACTGTGGACATAATATACTTAGACTGCAGCAAGGCATTCGACAAAGTAGACCACAACTTACTTCTTGGTAAGCTAGAAAAAAGTGGGATAGATAGCATCACCCCAGATGGATTCATAACTGGCTGACAAACTGTACTCAACAAATAGTCATTAATGGTACTACATCTACATGGAGGAAAGTAAGCACTGGGGTAGTACAAGGTTCTGTTTTAGGCCCAGTTCTCCTCAATGTTTTCATAAATGACTTAGATGAGGGAATAGAAGGGGAACTTATCAAATTTGCGGATGATACTAAGCTGGCAGGAATAGCTAACACCCTAGATGATAGGCTCAAGATCCAGATGGATCTTGACAGACTTGAACACTGGACCCTATCTAACAAGATGAAATTCAATGTAGAGAAAAGTAAAGTGTTACACTTAGGCAAGAAAAACCAGAAGTACATATAGACTGGATGAAACCAGGCTTAATAGCAGTACCTGTGAGAGGGATCTTGGAGTCTTAGTGGACAATCAATTAAATATGAGCCAACAGTGTGTGGCAGCAGCCAAAAAAGCCAATGCAATCCTAATGTCAGCTTCCAAAACTGACACCTAGGTTGCATTAACAGAGGGATACAATCAAGATCAAGTGAGGTACTAATACCACTCTATAAAGCCTTAGTAAGACCACATCTATAATACTGCATCTAGTTTTGGTCACCACACTATAAAAAATACGTTGAGACTCTAGAAAAAGTGCAGAGGAGAGCAACCAGGATGATTAGGGTACTGGAGACTAAAACATACGAAAAACGGTTACAAGAAGTGGGTATGGCTAGTCCAGTGAAGAGAAGGACCTGGGGAGACATGATAGCAGTGTTCCAATATTTGAGGGGCTGCCACAGAGAGGAGGGGGTCAAGCTATTTTCCAAGGCACCCGAAGGCCAGACAAGGAATAATGGATGGAAACTGATTAAGGAGAGAGTCAATCTAGAAATAAAGAGAAATTTTCTGATACTGAGAACAATCAACCAATGGAACAGCTTGCTTTCGGAAGTTGTGGGAGTTTCATTACTGGAGGCTTTCAAGAAGAGATTGGAATACTATTTGTCAGAAATTGTATAGTCTCTCCTGCTTGGGTGGGAGGTTAGACTACTTGATCTACAAGGTTCCTTTCAACTCTGTTAATCTGTTAAGTGGGAAACCTAATTCCTTTCTCTTTGTGACCTTTTCCTTGCTGGATCTGATCCTGACACCTAGAACAATAAAAGTTCAAATATAATGCTTATCCAAGTATACTGACTTAGTTCTTTCTTTCTTGGTAGTTTACGAATCTCTGAACTTTGATTTGGAGACTAGTGACAAATGGCTGGGAAGAAGACTACTGCAAGAAACTGAGGATAATGTCACTGATAAACCAGAAGAAGTAAAACATCTCTATCGAAAAAATTGCACTGAACCAGGTAGGATGGAAGTTTTCTTCCTTGATTTGGTAGTCTGTGAGGTTCAATAGCTGCAAAAATACCACCCCTTTAATATTTCCAATCATACAATTTTTGTATGTATTGTAAGATGAATGATGGCAAGTCCCTTCCAGTTCATACTCAAGATTAAGAGGCTTATAGAATTTCTGTGGACTTTACATGCAGTATATATGAAAACCGTGAAAAACATTTACTAGTTTTAGGTGCTCTTTGTTTTTGTTATCATTGCAAACTGTGGCCTGAACATGGATTTTGAATGAAAGAGTTTAATAATTAACAATTTATTAAATTGATTTCAGTGAAATTTGTAAAATATTTTTAATAAAAGGCCTGTTTGTACATAAACGGTAGGTACCTCTTTGACATACAAATATTTAGCATACTTTACAGCCTATTTTTCTTCAATAAAACTACGCTCCCTTATAGTACTAGTTCACAGAAAAATACATGGTATTTGAAAAAGGGGCAGATGTCCCTTAACACTGGTTGCTTCTTTTAGCTTTTCTTTCTGATTTGTCAGATTCTCAGTTGTTTCTTTGCCTTTGTAGAACAGCCCCATAGCTCCTTTCCCGAGAACTTCTTTTTGTACGAATTCTTATCCTTTGTTCCCTTACTTTTATGGAGAATCATACTATGTTGTTGGTAAATTATTTGATTTCTATGTGTTCTTTTCCATTTTCTCAATGGGGGTTGTTCCCTTTACTGTGCTTTTGTTCCCTTATTTAATCATTTCTATAATGACATTGTGTTATGTTTGTTGTGCAAAATGAAAAGGAAATGCAAATAGAAATGAAAAGGGTGATCTGTGATTAAAGACCTTAATAGAAAGTAAGATTAAGGGCAATTAAGAGAACTTATTCAAGGAGCAGTTAATAGGCTACTTGTCAATTATCCCAGATCATACTCAGTAGGACACAATAAACTGGCTAAACTTGTATGCCATAAGTTTTTTTATTAATGTTGGGAGGGATCCATACTTGAATGCACTAACTTCCAAACAAACATTATTGAAGGCTCTTTCAGAGGAGAATGCCTTGCTTGAAACTATGCAATTCATTTAAGTAATGTATAAGACCTCTTGTCTTAATTCTATTTTCAGTTAATAATGGAAAAGGGCATTTCTCAGTAAGGAAGGTTAGAGTACAGATGAGGAAAAAATGAAATACCTGAGTTGTAATTATTAAACACATACGTATTCTCAAACACTCAACAAAAACAGCTGCATTTATGTATTTTTACCTGATGTCGCTACAAAAATCAGAAAAGCAAGTGATTAATGAACTGAAAGATTTGTACATACTAAAAAAGATGAATAAATATTTATAGAATTATTTAGCTGACCACATAATTTTGCCAACAAATTCATTATAAAATCCTGGAAGTTTTGTTTGCAAATTCTCACTTACAGTATAATTAACAGTTACATTAATTTCTTAGTTGTTATCTTTGAAAAAGCAATATCATTTTTATAGATTTTCTGATGAATGCCTATATTTTCTTCAACAAAAGTAACATTAATATTTCATTTAAAGGAAGAAATGAAAGGGCTGTGGTGGTGGTTGTTTAGTGCTAACATATTTTGGGTATATGAATAGATAAGATTGGATAACTGTTCCTTAGGAAGAATGAAGACAGAACCTCTCCCAAATAAATGGGGTTATTTTAGTCTCTTATTTGTTATTGCCACTGCTTGTCTCCAAATATGCAGAAATGTAAGTACAAGGATTTGGATGCAGCAAATTGTGACTTATCCAAAATGCAATGGCAAAATTGACTTAAAAACAGAAACTCTTAAAGTACTCTCCTCCCACCCCCTTGCCCTTTAAATTGGGCATGTACGTATGAATTCTTGATGGCCCCTCCAGGAATACATTTGTAACTAAAAAGTAGGGGGGACCTTGGAGTGGCAAGAGTCCATCTCTCAGTTATGTTTGAAATACATTTATATCTGAAAGGTCCTGGGTTCGGCCGCCAACATCTCGGATAGCAGGTGTCACTGGCAGTACTGAATTAAATGCATCTCTGGAGTTAGAAAGTCGCTTTCTATATGCAAAATATTGCGATTAGGCTATTAGCTGGGGGATTAAAGCAAGGGACCACTTTATTGTGCTTTTGCTGAAAGGCCCACATGACTTCATTTGCCAGTGATTTTCCATGGATAAAACCCTAATGTGTTACTTCGAGCTTTAAGGTTTAAAAAGTTGAGGGGACTATCTGAGGAGATGCTTGTCTCAATATGAACGTGCCTGAACATAAAATCCTCTAGAACAACGTTTCTCAACCTTGGCAACTTTTAAGTAAGGTGGCCAGACGTCTCGCTTTTGGCGGGACAGTCCCGCTTTTGAGCAATTTGTCCTGCGTCCCGCGGCGTTTCAAAAAAGTCCCGATTTTTCTTGAGCCCCAGCTGATGGCTAGAAGAAAAAAAAAACTGTTTAAACTCTTGCCCGGGGCTTCAAAGGGCCGCCCTACAGGCAATCAGTGTAAAGCAGTTTTTTTTCCCCCTAGCTAAGCTTCAGAAACGAAACCGAAACCAGGGTCTTTGGTGCAGCGTGACAAAATGAGGCAGAGAGAGATTTATTTTTATTTTTATTTTTCCTCCCCAAAAAAGGTAGGTGAAAAACTGCAAACAATGGGAAATTTAGGAGGAGAGTTCAAGATTTTAAAACACAAAGGAAAAAAAGCTGTATTTAACTAGGGAATTGTAATAATTGAGATACTATTAATTGTATATTGTGTTGAAAGCAGAAATGGTTAAGTTGTGGTTCGGAGGAATATATGGGAGAAATTATTTGGTTTATTATTATTGGTAAATAGAATTAATTGATTTGTAAGAAATTGGATTGCATGGAAATAATTGGAATATTCATGTTCATATTGATTAATATACAAAAAAGATAGTTTTATAACTAATTGATTTATATTAAAATGTTGAATTTGTATTAAACAACTGTATTACATAATTACATAATTAAACAATGTGAGGATGGATATAAAAATAGATGACAATGGGAAGGGGTATAATATAGAATAGAAGGGAAAAATTGAATTTGATTAAGATTAGAGATGAGGATGAAGGGTAATATTGGTTTTTTTAAAAAATAGATGAGGAATAAATATGGCAAAAAGGAAATATAGAAATTGTAAATTTAATTGAAATGACTAAACGCTGTTTAAATTTGTGAACCAGCCAAATATTCTGTTCAAAGAAAATACATTGTATGTTTGTATGTGTGTTTCTAATTATTGCTATTTATTCATATTTGTTCTCTTTTATTCTTTAAAGTTTAACAATTCATTCTTTATCTTAATATCTTTATATTTGCTTGGGGTTGGCTTTCTTCCCTTTCATCTTTTTTATTGTACAGCAATCTTTCTCCTCAAACCTACCACCTCTCTCTTTTCTTTCCTTCTTACTTTCTCTTCCCCCCACCCTCTTTTTCTCCTCCCTACTTCCTCTTTCTTTCTCCTTCTCCTCCTCTCTTCCTCCCTCTCTTACCCTCACTCCTACTCTAATTTCCATTCCTTCATCCCTCTCTATTGCTGTAATCCTTTAATGCATATGGACTACTCAGAGGGCTGAAAAAGTTATTTTTGACTGGTCCTCACACTTTTGACCAGTCCTCGAACTTATGACTGTCCTCACATTTTACATTTTTGCCCTATCTTGTCATCATGGTGAAGAGAAGCAGTTGTGAAATGAGTGACATGGTTGTTAAGAATGCTCACGGGCATAAATGTGAGGATGGTCATAAGTGTGAGGACCAGTCAAAAGTGCGAGGACCTGTCAGAAATGACTTTTTTCAGCCCTCTGGTTAGTCCTTTTGTGCATATGGACTACTCAGAGGGCTGAAAAAGTTATTTTTGACTGGTCCTCACACTTTTGACCAGTCCTCGAACTTACGACTGTCCTCACATTTTACATTTTTGCCCTATCTTGTCACCTTGTTGAAGAGAAGCAGTTGTGAAATGAGTGACATGGTTGTTAAGAATGCTGCACGGGGCATAAATGTGAGGATGGTCATAAGTGTGAGGACCAGTCAAAAGTGTGAGGACCTGTCAGAAATGACTTTTCAGCCCTCTGAGTAGTCCCTATACACATAGCCATGGCCACCCGGTCACATGACCAGGTAGCCACGCCCACCCAGTCACATGGCCTCCAAGCCACGCCCACACAATAAGCCACGCCCACAATGGTGTCCTTCTTACCAATGTTAAAATCTGTTCACCTTACCCTATAGACATAGCCATGGCCACCCGGTCACATGACCAGCTAGCCACGCCCACCCAGTCACATGACCAGCTAGCCACGCCCACAAAATAAGCCACGCCCACAATGTCCCTCTTTACCAATGTTAAAATCTGGTCACCTTACTTTTAAGAGGCATGGATTTCAACTCCCAGAATTCCCCAACCGGCACATATCTTAAATTTGCCAAGTGAGAAACACCGCTCTAAAAGCGGCTCCCTGGGGAACCTGGGGTGGAGAGCTTCTTCTTTTGCTGCACTGGAATGGTGAAACCTGCTTCCTTGCCTCAGGACGTATATTCAGTCCTCAGTTTTCTGCTTTTAGAAAAGGAGGCTAAGCATTCTTCCTATGAGGACAGGTCTTTTCAGTTTCAATAGCTTAATGTGTGCTTAAGTATTTCTGTGAACTTTCCATGATTATGCTTTCTGTTTCTTGTTAGCTGTCTTAGTGGAAAGACAGGATATATCCTAAAAATAAATGAAAAAAAGAATAAAATTGCTTGAAACTCAGGCTGTGACTGACTATCCATGCTTCACATCAGGAAGTTCAGGAAAGTAACAGTCCTGTTCTGCTGTTCTTGTTGGTGAGATTACTTCACCCTCTGCTGTTTTTGAGGTTTAGGGGAAAGACTGGATCCTGCTTGATATGAGCATTTGAAAGGGGAGAAAAGGCAGGGTTCTGCTGTCACCCAGACAAAAATATCCAACACTCATTTGTGAGAACTCTAAAATGT